CTTATCACGGTAAGCATGAGGGCTGGTTTGTGGAAGGGGATAAATTGCGTCTTCCCATAGAAACCTATAGTCTTGATTGATAAACCAGAGAGGAAAAGCTTTAAGCCAGAGCTTCCCATGCAAGAGTAGGTCGCACCAGTTACTTGGCCGGGTATTTCCATCAATTGGCGCTTGGTGAGCTGCACTTTATCTAGGGTCTGTGCCTGAAGTCTGTGGACATCTAGTCCACCCAGGGTTACCATGCCAGGGTCTTCTTCTGCCCCCCCTTCCTTGTGTGGCTCTTTAAGTGTAGCTGGCAGGTATATTATAGCTGAGGAAGCCAGGTTAGAATCCACTGAGGTTGCCCTTTGTCGCTGATTCTGTTCATAACTAGGGGCAGCCGAAGTGTTGAGGATGTTGGTTTGGTGATTGAAGAGTGTATTCTGCTCATATTTAGTCATGATGTATAACTTTCACATGATCGCAGTGAGACTCTGCGTCCTTGAAGCAATCATTACTTAAAATTGGAACACTCCCTCCTGGAGACCTTGTCGAGACACACAGACAAAGGAATGCACCAGTTGATACAAAGCTAAGAATCAGTTTAGGAAGAACGAAAGTCCTGATGCCTCACCATTGTTCAGCTTGTCCACATGTGGAGTTCTGTGTGGATGAATGAGTTGATAACAATATGATTAGACACACAAACAGCGGGATCTTCTGTTTCAGACACGTTGTCCATGAAGCATTAATTAACACGATATTATCGACTTGCTGCCCAGAAGCTAATTCACATTGGCAGACACACTAAACACCAATCAAATTTTTGCCACTCCACTGGGGAACTTGTCTAATCTAGTACAAATTCTGCAGAAGAGAAAGTGTCCCAACCTGTGCATAGTGGGTAAAGCAGTTGCACCAAATATGTAGCTTCATTTCTTAGAGTCATGGACATTTTTTGGGGTACAATTTCTTGTACATTTTAAAGTAGCAAATGAGCCATTGTGTCCGACGTATTTGTTGAAAAGTTAAACACTTACTGTACACAGTTCAACAATTTGATGTCGCTCTGTGACGAATGATTACAATTGCCCCCAAAACGTCCGCTGGAAATATAAACTGGAAGCCAGTTGAACAGTAAAACTGGGACTCACGACACGAGGCAAGTTAATGCCAGAAGACAGTGCCTACTGTTCGTGTGTGTGTGTGTAATCTTGCTGCGATATCAAAATGACTTGTCTTCTTTGTTCATTGTATAAATTGAATCCCGTCCTCTTTTTCTGTGGCTCAGCATTTAAATAATATTTATTTTAGATTTGATGGAGTAATCACAGACGTGCCAAAAAGGGTTCTCTTTCATCAAGATCGAACTGATCATGTTAATTGTTAAAATGTACAAAAATCTATCTTTCAGGGAAGGGAGCTCAGCATACCTTAACTACTGATCTGAGAATCGCCCTTGTGTAGCCTACCATTTTCTATATGTGCATTTTTATAAGAGTGTGCAGTCAAGCTGTAGGCATTTTTTTCGATGACATTACAAATGAGTTCTAGTGCTCGTCCTGAAAGCTTCCTTTTAATCTTTTGCCCTAACAGGGATGACAACATTTTTTTAAGTGGACAGAGCTGGACATCTACCCCACAAAAAATCTCCTCTTATTGACGATGTTGAGTACTCCCAGGGCCCTGCAGATACAGTATATTGCGTGAACACACACAAAGTAGATACTGTATGATATGGTGCCCTGACCACGTAGCTCCAGGAGATGATGTGTATTTCCTGCTAAACCCTTCTTGCTTTCTGTATTTATCTTGCCGACTAGGGCTATATCATTTCCTGCTGACCCTCTTTTATAAAACATGAAAGAATTGTCTTTAGGCCACAGTGTTATGATGCTGATAATGTGTGTGAGGGATTGGTGAGAAAGGGTGTTCACAAGGCTGCTAAATAGAGATATCTCTGATTGAGTCTTTGATGAGTTTAAAGAATTTATTTGTACATTTTAATTCTCATATAAAACACTTTTACTCACTATGTTCAAAATAACCGCTACAAACATACCAAAGATAGATCAAATTCAAAATTAAATTAAAATAACATATAGGAAAAGTAAAAACTGAAACAAAGTCAAATAAAAACAAAAACACGAAGTGCAATTCATACCCATTGTTAACATATTTCAAAGACAGATGATGTCATTCAGCGTTACGGTTCTCGACCAAGTATATTGGTCAAACATGTTCTTAAAGAGTCTCAGGTTTTGTAGAATTTGTTGAAGGGCCTGTTGAGGGTACATCTGATCTTATCCAATTTAAGATTCTGCATCATGTCGCTAATCCAGTGGAGGACTGGCAGCCTTCCATTTAAACAAAACGAAGCATCTGGCCAATAAAGAGCAAAAGGCAATGAGACGAAAGATAAACGGCAACCAATGCAAACGATGAAATGTGACAAGTGCAAGTGTGGTGGGGGGGGGACCAAAAAAGGAACAATCTTGCATACCCAGAAAGTAGCTGGTAAGTATTTACATCTTTCACAAAATGGATTTGTATTTGGACATATTCTTGCCAATCAGTCTTTAGTAAATATGTAATCTATGCAGCACTTTGAACTGTATTAAGGCATCCATAGAGCATTTGGAGAAGAGTGAACACTAGTAAGAACCCGATCCCATTCCTCATCAGACATCTGGGCTCCGAAACCATTTTCCCATTGCTCTGAAATATTTGAAATAGACTGGTCACCGCAATCAATAACATGGGAATAAATAAATGATATTCTGTCTTTAGTCCATTTATTGACCCTTGACAAGGAATCCAAACAGGAGGAAGGAGGAAGATTAGGAAATCTCTAATCTGTAAGAAACTAAAAAAACGGATTATTGGTCAACCCAAATTTTTGGGACAGCTGGTCAAGATAGCAAAGGTATTCCCAATATATCAATCCTCAATACTATGAGAACCCTTATTACATCAGGTTTTGAAGCCGTTATCCTCTCAGGATGACTGTAAAATATTTTTTAACTAGTTCACAATACATAAAGCTTCAGTTACAATGACACTGTCTTTTATGTTGTCAATCAGTGATGGTAGTGGAGCACAAAGTAAGGCATGGACAGAAATATGGCCTACTCGTGAACTTTTCAATACGGAGCCATACCAGGATCTCATGGTTCCAAACTTTTAACCACAGAGAAATGGCATGAAAGTTTTCTGTCCAACAATGTGTGCACATTTGGAAGAGAAAGCCCAACGACATCTTTTGGTCTTTCCAGAAATTAATTTTGTATGCAAACTGGTTTATTGATCCTCATAAAGGAATAAATCATTTGATTAAAGCTCTCGAAAAAAAAAGATTGTGGTATAAAAACAGGCAATGCCTGAAATAAATATTAAAACTTTGGTACAATTGTAAGTTGAGGGGTTCGTAGGTTTTGGATGGATGGCTCTATGTTCAGAATGGGCAAAAAGGAGAGATGGACTTCGTTTGAACACAGCTTTTTAATTTATTTATTTTTTTTACGTCTGCACCGTAACTCTCCAACGAACACCCCTCCTTCCGGTCACGAAAACGCTTGCTGCTTTTCTTCGCCAATCAGATGCAAGCAACATAAGAATATTTCAGAAATTATTAAACAGAATATAATTTAGATAACTGTAACATAAAAGAATATAATTCTCAAATATAAAATGATAATAATTAACAATTTAACAATAGCTTACACAATATTCACCATAACAAAATGTTTTCTTCCGAGAAGGGAAAGAGGTAAAATCGACCATCTAATAATGTCTTGTTTGCTCTGTTCAAGCAATGAAATTAAATTACTTTGAAATACTTTGTAGACGACAATAAATTTTGGTGACTTTTACACCAAGATATGTGAAGGGTTTGACAGACAACGTAAATGGGATATTCTCTAGCATTACCATTCTTGGGGAAGTACTCCATCCATCCATCCATTATCTGAACAGCTTTATTTTCACGATGGTCGCAGGCCTGCTGGAGCTTATCCCAGCTGTGCAATATTTAATTTATACCCAGATATATTTACAAATTCAAGGATGGATGAGATGGGATTAGGGATGAAGAGCAAGAGTTCGTCTGCATGAAGAGAGACTGTATGAATTCCAAACTAAACCATTTTCTTTTGCTGTGCAGCTGCTATAGTGCAGATGATAGAGTATAGACAAACTCGGTTATCATGTTTAAAAGTTTCATGTTGTTGTATGCTTGATTGACCTCAAACGTGTGTGTTTAGAGCACACAGGAAAAAGGGCCAACTTGAGCTGAATGAAACTGAGGCCTTGTTAACTGATAGTACAAACAGGAATGTTCAACTTCGGGTGGGCAGCACGATAAGATGTCCTTGAGTTTGTTCCAGTGTCTCAATTCATGCGAAATACAGTGATCCTCGCTCTATCCGGTTCGTTTAGCACGACTTCAGTGCATCACGGTTTTTCCCCCCAAAGTACTGTATTCAGAAAAAAATTGCCGAATGACTCAGAGGTTTTGTGCGTGGCTGTAACTTGATTGGTTCCCAACGCCGACGTCCACCAATGATAGCACGAGTGGATCTATCCCACGTGGCGTGGGGGAAGCTGAGAAGATGCACAGCCAATCAACATGGCTTTGCATCTTCTCAGCCCCGCCCAGCACCCCTCCCTCTGTCTTATCACGTGGGTTACTCTTTGAACTTTGATCCGTGTCTCAGTGTTGTTTACGTGTGCCAGTGTGTGCACGTGTGTGCATCGAGCACGCACGTGTGCTTGTGTGTGTGTGTGTGTGTGTGAGAGAGAGAGAGAGAGAGAGAGAGAGAGAGAGAGAGAGAGAGAGAGAGAGAGAGAGAGAGAGAGAGAGAGAGAGAGAGAGAGAGAGAGAGAGAGAGAGAGAGAGAGAGAGAGAGAGAGAGAGAGAGAGAGAGAGAGAGAGAGAGAGAGAGAGAGAGAGAGAGAGAGAGAGAGAGAGAGAGAGAGTAGGCTTATAAGAAAAAAGAAGTTTTAAGCAGTTACATACGTGTCCAAACATGATAGGCATGCAGGAATGTATGGATAAAAATGCAATGAAAAAAAGTATAATTACAGAGTCATATACCAGTTTGACATTTACATTTTTCAGGTAATAATGTTGTCACTCGGGGTTCCCACACGTACCCATTCACCTTTCAAATCCCCCAAGTGTGAGTTTTATCTCTGCTCTAAATACTGTAATATCAATTTAAGATCCTGCAGATGTGCTGCTATTTTGCTAAATATGTTTGCCCAACTTTGATCTCCTCCAGAAACCTGCCGTCGTCATTCAAGGGCTCATATGGAAAAATCAAGTACACTTTGGAGGCAAATCTGAGCAGGTCGATGAGAACTGACTGCAAAGCCAAAACTCATTTCCGTGTCATTAATAAAAGACACAGTGACGCGTTTTTGACGGTACTGCCATCTTACGGGACACAACACATGGTCAAGTTTCTTTGAAACTCTGGTATAAGCACTGTCTAACTTCTTCACAATCCCCACCCCTCTCACCACCACCATCTTAGTCTCCACAGCAAGGCATCACTGAGAAGAAAATGAACTTCTTCTCTTCAGGAACAGTTCAAATGGAAGTAAATATCGAGAAAACTGGCTTCTTTCAAGGTAAGATGTTGTCTTTCAGGGTGCATTCAGAAATTCACTCTGACGCCAGAACACAACTCTGAGAGTGGGGTCTTTTTTGGGGGCACTCTGAAAAACCAAATGGCATATTTGAACAACGCTCTGAGTATTCCAAATGTCGCAGTGAAGCAGAACATGCTCAGAGGTAATCTCCTCATCAAAACCTTAATCACATTTACGGGCATGGATATAAAAAGTCTACACACCCTGTTCAAATGTTCAGGTTTATAATAGAAATAGACCAATTTTTTTCACACACACTTATGCAACCACACTATCTCAGTGGTTTTCGTTCTTCTTTTTTTTTCAATTCAATTGTAAAGGTTATTGGTCGCAGTGTAAAATGCAAATAACATCCTGATGGGGGACAGGAGAAGGAGCTTCAGGCAGGCTGGTACAATATCCACCCCTGGCTAGAATATTCTCAACAGATGGACTCGGCGTATTGTTACGCTTGCAGATATTTTAGCCCTCCTAATACTGTTTTTTTCTCATCACTGTAATGTTATGACTACAGTGCTTTCAAAGTTTGATGAAATAAAAAGTCAAATAATATTTCGAATCTGTCTTTTTAGCCCTGGGTTGAATGTGCCCCTCCATCAAAACCCCTTGGCCCCAGCCCGGCCCCCTCAGTGAAACTGATCTAGAACCGCCACTGCTGCACGCCGCGGATCGCTAGGCTGTTCACATACAGCACATTTGAAATTTCGTCCCTCTCACATTTTTTGGCTTTTATTTTATTTTTTTATAAATCCTACTTCACGGATTTCACTTATCACGGGTTCTTTTTGGAACGTAGCGATAAACGAGGGATTACTGTATACCCATTGAATTAACAATGTATCCATTGTTTGTAGATGTTTAGGACTCTGAGGGGCTTATCGGTGGTCTAAGAGGCATGACATATAAATGAAGAAGGGAGTGTTTTTCTGATATATCACTTGTAATTTGCATACACGATCAATAAAAAGCCGGCAGAGGCTGCAGAGGTCAGGTGTCAGTTGGTAAGCGCACACGGAGTGGCTTCGTAGAAAACTGTGCCTCCTGCCGGCAGAAAAGACAATCTCTTCCTGAGTCTGTTTGTTCAACTATCCGAGCGAACATCTCCGACAGCAGAATTCGAAAGTTATTTTAATCAACTATAGAATTCTAAAAGATTTCAAACGTGAAGAATCCCCTGGAGCAGAGAAGGGTGAGATGCATTTACAACAAAATTGGAAGACAGATTTTGTGCAGAATTTTAGTGCTTCTGCGTACTCCCAACTCCCAAAGTTGAATAACACCATTTATAAACACCATATATATGAATAAATATTCTTATTTTGACCCCTAATTATGACTTTGATCATGAAAACCTTGTAGTTGTGTTAGGGATTGGTGGTCGAAGGTTCCCCACTCAAAAAAGGCAACCACGCCTGTACTTCCTCTGCAAACTGAGGAGAGCAAGAGCCCCGCTTCCCATCATGCAGACATTTTATACAGGCACCATTGAGAGCATCCTGTCCAGCTGCATCACTGTGTGGCAGGGGCGTCGCTAGGTTTGAAGAACAAGGGGGGCTTAGAAATTTTTTCTACATTCTGTTAAAAATCCATCAATTCCGTGCACTTTGAGAGCAAAATGAAGAGGCTATGAAGAACTACACACATCACATTAGTATCCTCTTTACTATGATGGGGCTTCCTCCCCTGGACTTTAACTGGACTAGATAATAGAAATTATAAAGAGTTCAAAAGTTCAATCTTGGTTGTTCAAGGGAATTAGAAGGATGCCCGATAACATAACCTATATGACAGTAGTCCTATATTCCTCTCTACCAAAATGTATTAATATATGCTTAGCCGCCAGAAGACAATGTATTTTGAGATGTCTGCCGTGATATGCAACTTAAGTTAGTACAATGAGATGCAAAAGCTTCATCACTTTGGAAAAACACAAGTTTGCTGCTCAATACTTACTGTAAGCTCCGAATGCATTTTGGGAACAGCCTTGCAAGTAAAATTAGCCTTGAGATCTGAGAG